TTGGGCTCTGTGCTTACCGTGTGGAGACTGCTTAGGATTCTCTCCCACTCTTTCTGCCCCTTCCCCACTTGTGCGCTCACCCATGCTCTCTCAAAATAAATGTTTCTTTTGAAAAGTTTGTCAATGGGGTGCCTGGGTGGCTCAGTCGGTTAAGTGTCTGACTTCGACTCAGGTCATGATCTCCTGGTCTGTGAGTTCGAGTCCCGCCTGGAGCTCTGTGGTGACAGCTCAGAGCCTGGAGCCTGCTTCCAATTCTGTCTCCTTCTCTGCCTCTCCCCCACTAACAGTCTCTCTCTCAAAAATAATTAAACATTAACAAATATTTTTTTTAAAAAGTTTGTCATTAAAGCCTCTGAAATGTACACTCAAAAATGGTTGAAAGTGGTAAGTTTTAAGTTTTGTGCATTTTAAATACATATAAAGTTTGTATTCACAGTAAGGACAATTTGGTAGGCAAAGTAAATGTCAAATAATATAAGCCTGATAATAAGATAACCTGATACTATGTATCTCTAAATAAGAACAACCTTGCCAATAAAAAGTGAATTCTCAGATACTTTTTAACATGCATAACCAACATTTGCCTTTGTAGTTCTTTTTTCTGTATGTCCATGATTTTTGGTACACAAATTTCTGCAGATATTTTATTTTCACCTCATTCTTCGGATTAATGCTTTTTTTTAAGATATATTACATAATATACTATTATAAAATATAATACATATATTTGAAAATATATTTTATAATAAGCTATAGTATTACAAAATATAAATATAACATCTAGATGTTATAACACAGATTGTAGTTAAATCTTGGCAATTCTAGGATCCACTGCCTCCTGATGCAGGATCATAAATTCAAATGTTTACAGGCACAGACAGTTAATATAAATAAGTTAAGACTGACATACAAGGTTGGAGAAGCAGGCAAGGTACAAAACATATAGAACCACAGATGTCACACTAAAAGGATCTCTGGATGTTACACTGACATGTATAAAAAGCCACTGAAGGATTTCAAGTAGGGGAATGATGCAACAGAGAGCTGCTTGTTATATGGAAAAACTGTTAGTCCTACTATTAGAATTTTTTTTTTCCTACTATTAGAATTTCATGGGGGCACCTGGGTGGCTCAATTGGTTAAGCATCTGACTTTGGCTTCGTTGGTTCGTGAGTTTGAGCCCCGCATCGGGCTGTCTGCTGTCAGCACAAAGCCCGCTTAGGATCCTGTGTCTCCCTCTGCCTTTCCCTTGCTCACTCATTTTCTCTCTCTCTCTCAAAAATAAACATTAAAAAAAAAAAAACAAAAAAACCTTCACATACTTGTAAAAATTACATAATCCAATGGGAGAAAAAAACAAAAACAAGAACAAGACCCAGTTTTCTCACTCCTAGAGATTTGAAACAGGCCATTCTAATGCTTTTGTAAAATATTATAGAGAGAGGTGCCTGCGTGGCTCAGTCCATTAAGTGCTGGACTCTTGGTTTTGGTTCAGGTCATGATCTCACGGTTCGTGGGGTCAAGCCCCACATTCAGCTCCACCTGACAGCACTGAGCCTGCTTGGGATTCTCTCTCTCCCCCTCCCTGTGCCCCTCCCCCACTTATGCTCTCTCGTTCAAAATAAATTTTTAAAAATGAATTTTTTTAAACAGAAGACAACCGTGGCTGGAGAGAAGAATAGCAGGATATAAAGCAGGAATGCTAGGCCAGGCCTGATTGCTATAAGGAGTTTAAATTGTACAGATACAAAAAGAAGCAGGAGACTAGTATTACCTGAATTCTATTTTTAGAAAATTACACTTGTGTGTGGAAAACTGAATCTAGCAGGGCAAGAGTAGAAAGGAGATTAGTTAATAAACTATTTTAATAATCCAGGTAAGAGATGATGGGGACTTGAACTGGGAATGGTAGTAGCAGATGTGGAAGCAGACAGATAAAATTTGGAAGTAGAAAACTCAGACTTTCCAGTAGCCCGGAGGTAGGAGGTGATAAAAAGGGAAGAATATAGGACGATCCCTAGGCATCTGGCTTAACCAACTGTGTAAATCATATATAAATTTCTTTGGCTATTGTAATTACATGCTTTCTTTTTCTTTAATGTTTATTTATTTTCAGAGAGAGCATGTGCATTCACATGAGTGGGGGAGGGCATCTCACATACTATGAGATCATGACCTGAGCTAAAATCAAGAGTCCAACACTTAAACAACTGAGCCACCCAGGCGCCCCACGTTTTGTTTTTTAATAAACACACAAGTAATACTTGGATAACAGAAGTTGAAAGTTAAAGATATCATACAAATCCTTATCAGAAAAGTATTGAAAATATAAACTTTAAGGATCACAAAAATTAATCTGCCAGCAAATTAAATTGCCTAACTACAGGGGTGCCTGAGTGGCTCAGTCGGTTAAGGTCCCACTTCAGCTCAGGTCATGATCTTGCGATCCAGGAGTTCGAGCCCCACATTGGGCTCTGTGCTAACAGCTCAGAGCCTGGAGCCTGCTTCAGATTCTGTGTCCCCCCCTCTCTCTGCCCTTCTCCCACTCACATTCTGTCTCTCTCTGTCTCAAAAATAAACATTAAAAACATTTAAAAAATGAAATAAATTGCCTAACTACAAATTATCTAACAGGATATACATAAATTTGAATTTCTAAATTAAGTACAATTAACAAAATATACTTTATTAATAATACTTTGCAAATAAGCTAGTCTGAATGAAGGTTTTTGTATGTTTCCCACAAGTATTGCTACCCACATGTTCTTTCTCTCTTACTCTACAACATTTATAGGTGACCTGGCTGGCACAGTAGGTGGAGCAGGCTACTCTTGACCTCAGGGATCGAGCCCTACACTGGGTGTAGAGATTACTTTAAAATCTTTAAAAAACAAATAAAACTGGGGCACCTGGGTAGCTCAGTTGGTTAAGTGTCTAACTGTTGATTTTGGCACAGGTCCTGATGTCGTGGTTTGTGGGATTGAGCCCCGAGTCGGATTCTTCACTGACAGTATGGTATATGCTTGAGATCCTCTCTCCCTTTATGCCCTTCCTGCACACACATGCACACTCTCTAAATAAATAAACATTTTTAAAAATAAAATTAAATTTAAATTAAAATAAAACATTTACTTAGAAGTTGTTATACAGATTCTTGTTATTCAGGATTCTTTCCAAATGTTTAAAACCTCAAATTGCTAGGGACATTCTTTTTTTAAAAAAACACCCACTTCGTGCCAAGAGAACCCACTAATTATACCTCAAAGGGATCTGTTCTCTTTTTACCTTACCCTTCCACAAGTATTTTTAAATAAAGTAGAAACTAAATAAATGAGAAACAGAAGGTCGATCAAGTCCTATTATCCTTAACATTTTAACTCCTGAGCGCAAAAGCTTTCTTAAGCCTATTTAGGTAAATACAGACTCTTAGATAGGATCCCAATTTTCTCCAGTTGTATTTGGCTCTAAATCCCTGTAAATGGATACAAATGACTTAAAGCTTAAAGATAAGCAAATCTACCCCACAACACAGCCTCCAAAAATGTAATTTTAAAAGTTTTGTTGTATGCAAAAAAGTGAAATTCTACAAATGCCTATATATTCACACACTCAATGCCTTAAGATTACTTAATATTCCTATATATTCATCCATTCAATGCCTCAGTATTTTGAGAAGCTATTTTATTTCATTTGAGTTCCCCTCCAGAGTAAAGATTCAAAGAAATAAGAGCACTATTTTTCAGTGACATAGATGGTCATTTGAAAATAGGCCATCTGGGGGCAGCTGGGTGGCTCAGTCGGTTGAGCTTCCAACTTCGGCTCAGGTTATGAGTTCGAGCCCCACGTGGGCTCTGTGCTGACAGCTCAGAGCCTGGAACCTGATTCAGATTCTGTGTCTCCCTCTCTCTCTGCTCCTCCCCTGCCCTCACTCTGTCTCTTAAAATAAATAAACATTAAAAAAAAAAAGTTAAAGAAAATAGACCATCTGTCAGTCTCATCTCTTTTTCAGTATGTAAGCTGAAAGAAGTTTTTTTAAACTATAAAAAGTTTTTTTTTAAAAAGGAGAGAAATATTCAGGAAAGAAATACTTGTTTTTTAGAAAAGTGATTATTTTGCTTCTTGGTTCTTCAGCTACAAACAGACATGACAAAAGAACTAACACAACTATAAAAACTTATTTGTATTCAAATGTATTTTCAAGATTTCAAGATCTGACATAGGCACAAAGAAAAGAAAGGAATTAAAACAAGTATAAACAAGTCAGTTATGGACTGACCTCAACTTGAAATATGTTAAAAAATATTTTAGTAGTACTTTTAAAATGATGGAAGTAAATTTCTTCAACTCTTCTCAATCATCTCGAAATATCCGTGAGCTAAACTCCCACATTAAGGCAAAATCTCATTTTAAATACTAATTTAATTGATGAATCATTTCATTTAAAATTGCTAATCCAGGGAAAGAGTTTTTGTAAAAAACGTTTTATTGCTACAAAGGGAAACATGGTCACAAAAAGCCTTTAAGCGTATCTTAACGCAAATTACTATTCAATGTCCAATGCAGTAAAAAAATACACAGTCAGAGCACAAAATACTTGCCCAATTTATCTCTTCTAGGGTAAGTATTGAAAACATTAATGCACACTTGAATATATACTCCCAACAGCAGCATTTAAGTTCAAATGATTAGAATAGATATACTAACAATACACATCTGTTATCCTTAACACCAATTAAAGTAATAAAAATTAAGCTTAAAAATTATACAAACAATTTATCTAATCTAAGTTGGTAACTATAAAAACTAAACTAAAATAGTCTTACCCTCATTTTATTAAACAAATGCCAAACATTTAGAAATTATATAAAACAAATCTGAATGTGTGGAATGCATGCAACATGGGTGTTAACTCTCATATTTTAAACTATTAAAATTCTTACCCTTTTCCACATTACGAGAGAAATTTAAAGCTTCTTTTAAATCTGACTAATACCCTCTATTTAATTTTCTTCAGGTTGGTCAACAGGGAAGTCAACAGGCTTTTCCTTTGCTGCTTCTTCCTCTACTTCCTCTCCTTCCCCCACTCCTCCCTCCCCCACTGCTTCTCCCTCCCCGGCTGCCTCTCCTTCCCCCACTGCCTCCTGGTCCCCTGCTTCCTCTGTGTCTCCCACTCCCTCCACTCCTCCTCCTTCTCCCACTTCCTCTGCTTCCTCCACTTCTTCTACTTCCTCTACTTCCCCCACTTCCTCCACTTCCTCCTCCTCCTCCTCCTCTTCTTCAATAGGTTCATCAATCTTTTCTTCCTCCTCCTCATCTCCTTCTATTTGTTGATCTTGAGAATGATCTTGAATTTCAAAAGGATTCTCACCCTAAAAACATGAGGAAAAACAGCTTTTAAAATCAGCATATTCATTTTTGTTACCAGTGCAATTTTTATTTGCTGTAACATCAAAAATAAATACAATCTGAAGCTTTTTAATTTACGACAAATCATGACATATTTGTTCAGTACCTATTTCATACCAAAGTGGATAAATAAATTACTGAAGTCATTTCTTTATATTCCATAAACTGGAACGCTTAAAGGCCCATTTTCGTAACCTAATTTCTAAAATCATATGCATATGACAAAAGCAAATATGTGGGTTCTGGTAGAAACAGATAAGAGATTTATGTCCTACTTAATTACACCAGGATTCAATGTACTTCTGTGGTAGGATCTCTGAAAACAGGTTAAGAGTGGAAAAGCTTTGGGGCATCTGGGTGGCTCAGTCGCTTAAGCGTCTGACTTCGGCTCAGGTCATGATCTCACAGTTCATGGGTTCAAGCCCCCACGTCAGGCTCTGTGCTGACAGCTCAGAGCCTGGAGCCTGCTTCGGATTCTGTGTCTCCCTCTCTCTCTGCCCCTCCCCTGCTCATGCTCTCTCTCTCTATCAAAAATAAGTAAACATTCAAAAAAATTTTTAAAGAAAAAAAGTGGAAAAGCTCTGAAACAGTCACTGTAGGAAGCACATTACATCGGTTGGTAATGCGCAAAATTACTGTGAACTGCAGCGAAAATCTGGCAAACACAGCAATGGTACAATTCCATGATACTTGCAGTGAGACAGTCTAACCACAGAGGGCATAGTGCTGGGAATTGGTAAGTGGTGGAAGAATGAGTGAGGACTTTTGGAATGGCAGCACTGCATTGTTGGAAGGACTGTCCATGAGTATCCAGGCAAGGGGGTGAAGGTAGAAACAGTTGAAGAAACGGGATAAATTGATGAACTGATTATATCTTCATAGGACAAAGATTTAAAAAGATATTCTGTCAGACTGAGAGCACTTAAAAGCAGTTTTTAAGACATGACCAGAGCTGACCATGGGCAGAGGATGTTCTGGGGAATAACATCAGGGAACACAGCAGACAGGAAAGCTGAACAAAGGGATACCATTGAGTAACGCGACACCAGTGCTTCTTGAATTTTAATATGTTTCTGAATCAATTGGGATCTTGCTCAAATGCAACTCTCCATTTCTAATGAACTCCCAGGAAATACCAATATTGCTGGTCCATGGATCACATTCATAGTAAAAAATTCTAGAAGAGTTCTCCTTAGTTTAGGTACTTTCTACATAATATGCACATGTGGTAAGCTAAGGAAGCCTACTGCTGTCTAGCTGAACCAGTTAACAGAAGCTGGGGAGATAAAAGTTTATCTAATTTGGAAGTGAAATACAGGGAGCACCTGGGTGACTGAGTCAGTTAAGCGACTGATTCTTGGTTTCGGCTCAGGTCATGATCTCAGTTAGTGGATTTGAGCCCCATTATCAGGCTCCACAGCTGGCAACTCGGAGCCTGCTTGGGATGCTCTCTCCCTCTCCGCCCCTCCCCCACTCACACCAGCTCTCTCTCTCTCTCAAAATAAAATAAACTTAAGGTCCACAGTAACTACACATGTTAAGACATATCCCTCAAGTCCTCCTTTGTTTAAAAATCAAGAATAAAGCTAACATTATGATCTGCTATCAGACTCCTGAATTTCTCTCAAATGATCCACGGTGAGAAAGAAATGAGATAGGAATGACTTATTGTTGCCTCTCCCAACAAATCCCAACAATTAGGAAAAACAATGTTTTTACCTATATGCAAGATATTAAGTAAAAGTCTTCCTAATGTTGCACTATATTTAAATATCAGTTACTATGTCACCATTTGATTATAAAGATACAATGTAACCTAAAAAGGTTTTGCCCTAAAGTCTTACCTTAACGAAACGTTCATATCGCGCCTTCACTATTGGATTATTTAAAATGCTTGTAGCAGTCAAGACACTCTCTCTTTTTATTTGTTCTTTATAAGCCTATGAAAAATAGAACACAGTGAGGTACCCGAAAACCATGCCATGAAAATATTTCTATAATTAAAACAACATTGTATGCTCAAATTGCTACATTTAAATTATTTCTCTCCTGGCAAATTAAGCTATAAAGCAACAACTACTGTGACCACAATCTAAACCATCCATGATTAACATAATGAAGATTCAATAAGCCAATCAGACTCATTCACTCAGTTACTACATATGACACATCTAGGTCTACTAAACAGTTACTCTCCTTTCTACTATACATGCACTTTCCCCCACCCTAACTATTCTAACTACTAATTTTCATGCTATCAAAAGAGAAAGAACAATTTTTCATACTGCTAGAATAGTCTTCCTCTGGGCTGTAGTTAGTCTAAGACTGTATTATACAAAGGAGGACAGGTTAATATGAAATGTCTAGTTGCCAGGGCGCCTGGGTGGCTCAGTCAGTTAAGCATCCGACTTCAGCTCAGGTCATGATCTTGTGTTCCATGAGTTCAAGCCCCGCATCGGGCTCTGTGCTGACACTTCAGAGCCTGGAGCCTGCTTCAGATTCTGTGTCTTCCTCTCTCTCTGCCCCTCCCCCAATCACGCTCTGTCTCTGTCTCTCAAAAATGAATAAATGTTAAAAAAAAAAAAAATGTCTGGGGGCGCCTGGGTGGCTCAGTTGGTTAAGTGGCCGACTTCGGCTCAGGTCTTGATCTCGTGGTTCGTGAGTTCAAGCCCCACGTCAGGCTCTGTGCTGACAGCTCAGAGCCTGGAGCCTGTTTTAGATTCTGTGTCTCCCTCTCTCTGACCCTCCCCTGTTCATGCTCTGTCTCTCCCTGTCTCAAAAATAAATAAAACGTTAAAAAAAAAAAATGTCTAGTTGCCAAAAAAGTGTCAAAGGAATGCCAAAAGAGAAGAGAAAGGACGAAGATTTTTAAAAGATTATATGTGCTCAAAGTGACTAACCAAGTCTAAGTTAAATGAAAATCACATCAATACAAAATATGAATTTAAGACTCAGGTGTGCTCTATTTAAAACTTAAGCCTTTAATATTTGAATTTTTAAGTTTGCTTCTCAAACAAGCTAGTTTCTCACAATATAAACATTTATTTGAAATAAACTGGACTAAATAAAACCAACCAATTTAGAAGCAGAAATATGCCAATCAAAAAGAAAACAGTACATTTTTCCTAGAATATTTTAGTAAATTCTACTCAAAAATGTAACAATAGATAGTAACTGGTAATGCTAGTTTTTTTTTATTTTTCCCAGCCATCAGAAAAATGTAGGTTATGATTAAATCTTTCCGTTTTGTTCTAAAACACAAACTCTCTCATAAAACTGTTTTGAACCAACTTAAAAAAGTGTTAATGAAAAAAACAGTTCAATAGCTATGATTTCCTGAATGCTTACACTATGTGTCAGGCACTATTTTAAGTGTCTTTTCTATTGTAACTAACTTAATCTTTAAACAGTCATGCAAGAGCAGAATGATTATCTATCCCCATTTTACAAGTAAGGAAACTTGGACAAAGAAAAGCTAATTTACTTGCTTAACACATCATGTACTGGACCAGGATTCAACCCAGGACTTCTTGCTCCAGAGCCCAATCTTAACCACCATGCTTAACTACTAGGCTACACTGCCTCTCTAGTTATCTTTACAGTTTTTCACACATAAGATTAATAGGACTGTATGTAAGCAGGTAGGTGTGAAACAACAGCCTTAAAGGACAATAAAGGATTAATGAACACTTCAATGACTTCATCAAGACAGGTCAAAACTTACCTGCTTCCCTTTGATATGATCAGGAGATTTTAAGTGCTGCTGCACTGAACTATGCAAAGCAGGGATATACACACTGCATGCACTGCAGTGAACAGTCTCCACTTTCATCATGTGATCATCTGCAGTAACACCTACAAAAGAAAGCCAATTATTAATAAGTAATGATTCATATATTATTTTTGACAAAATGAGTTTTTATTATTTCGTTTCTATGGTTATTCATACCCCCTTCTTCTAAAAAGAAGATCAAGATATGTAGGTTATGTTGAGTTTTTCTACTAGGTTTCATAAATCTGCATATATAGATTAAAACTATGGATAACAGATTAAAATTATAAAGTAGAATTACATTATATTTCCTTGCGTATTCTACAATCCTGCTCTGAGTCCCAGGGGTCTGTCCCCCAAATATATAATATAAAAGAAGACAAATGTTGATTTTTGTACTAAAAAAAAGAATTTCCATAATAATGAATATGGGTAGGCAAGGATAGGGAAAAAGAGGTCAAAATTGGGATTCACAAAAAACAAAATATATGTTGGACCTTGAAAACTGTGATCAAGATTTATTACAAGTGAAGTTATAATGTATGCAAGGGAAAGGTGAGAGAAAATGGCACTTTGTGGGAGTTCCAAGTAATTCAATATAGCTGGGGCACTGAGAATAAAGAAGGGACAAAAGAGACAAAAAGAGCAGGGCCTATATCATGGAGAACTCTGCATGCCAGGCATAGGAATTTGAAGTTTATCCTATAGAGGATGGAGACCCAGTTAAACTTCTTGAAGTACTATAATCATGTAGTAGACTTAAGAGATAAGACTGAAAGTAAGGGTACTAGTTAGGAAAATAATATAACTGCCAAGAGAACGATAAAGACTTGAACAGATGCAATATTTAAAGAGGTAAAGAAGCAGACTTGGAAGATATTTAAAAGACAGAACCAGTAAGATACAATGTTATAGATATAATAAAGTAAAATTACTTAGGACTAACTTTATACTTATGGCTTAGATGGTGGGGCTACCTTCCAAGGAAAATGAAAGACCAGTCTTCTGAGTTTTTGTTTTCTTAATGGGGTGGAATAAGCCCAAAAAGCACACAAAATTTTTTTGATACATTCTTTTTGTAAGACTGCTGAAGAGAAAGGCCAATAAGCATCTCGATGTTCAAGAGAAGAGTTCAGAAGATAGATCTGTGTTAGAGACAGAAGTATGTAAGTAATCAACACAGAGGAGATAGTTTAAGCTCTGAGATTAGATGAATCATAAGGAAGGAATATAAAAAGAGAAGATCATGGAACTGAAAACAGAATACTGGGAAATATCAACTTCTAAAAGCTTCACAGAGAGGGGCACCTGGGTGCCTCAGTTGGTTGAGCATCTGATTTTTGATTTCAGCTCAGTTCATGATCTCAGTTCAAGCCAAGTCAGACTCGCTGTGGAAAGCACAGAGCCTGCTGGGGATTCCCTCTTCGCCCCTCCCCTGCTTGCTCTCTCTCTCTCTCAAAAATAAATAAATTCTTAAAAAAATAATAAAAATAAAATAAAATAAAATAAAATAAAATAAAATAAAATAAAATAAAATAATAAAATAAATAAAATAAAATAAAATAAATTTTTTTAAAAGATGTAGTTTTTTTTTCTTTTTTAAAGATGAAAGCATAGGCTTCAGGGACAGAATCAAGAGGAATAAAAAGACAGAAAAACAGAAGAGTTCACTATTTGAGCAAAAGTCCTTAAAGAGATGAGAAGTGAGAAGACAGAATGTAAGAATTCACTTCCACCTAGAGGAAAAGCTGATCTTTCTTGTAAAACTGAAGTGAGAAACATAATGGTAGGTAGTGATAAATTTGTAAACATGAGAAGAGGAAAAGGAGGTCACCTCTGATGACCTACTCACGGCTACCACATATGACTCGATCACACTAGTGGGCAGCATCTACACTGAAATAGATTATGGTAAGTAAAATATATGTGTTAATTTCTAATACACTTTGTTTAAATACTTACCTTCCATAACATCTTTTTCAATTATTTTAACTACTTCTGTTTGATTATTTGTCTGCTGTTTACGAATAGATGTTTTCTTGAATTTATTCACCATACATTCCTATAAAACAAAATAGGAAGAAACACAAAAAGTTTTCACTGAGCTTAGCATCAAACTCAGCCTATGGAAGATAACATCTGTTATATAAGAACTAATATCTGCCCTCAAGGAGTTTATAGTTCAGTTGAAAAAGACTATCATTAAATACAAATACAAATAAATTACTGGGATACTTACAAAAAATATTCACTTTCAAAGTGTATTTTAGGCATAAAGAACAAGAGAAATCAAACAGAGCTGGAAGAGTTAAGAGAGGTCTTCTCAGGGCAGGTACATTAAAGTCCTAAATGACAGGAACCAGTTAAGGAATGAAATGAACAGAAAGAAATTTCTGTAAAGGTACACAATTCTGCATGGATGGGGAAGAATGAATGATCACTGTATTTCTAACCTCCTAACAATTCCATGTCTTTTGCCCAAAGTAACTATATGGACAATCAGCAGTCCAGCTCTAGCCTCTTCCATAAACATCCCTGGCCCCAACTATCCTCACCTTTTCCAAACCCCCCTGCCTACACCCTCACTCCTGGCCCTCCGATTTAACTGTGTCATCTGTGTATAAATGAGTGTGTTCTTTCCAATTACTGTGAGTTCACTAAGGGTGGTATCTTCAGTCCTTGCATAACACCTTTTGTTAAATAGTCAAGAAAAACTGTTGAACTAGTGACCACACACTGATAATAGAAAGGACACTAAACAGACATCAGCTCTCTAGCTCTGAATTCAGACTGCCACTTAACTGGAAGAGTCACTACACTGCTCTGAGCATGATCTTTCATGATAAAAAAGAACTGTGATGACGCTCAAATGAAATAATGAATGAAAGTACCCAGCACAACACTAGGTACACAGCAGACTCTCAACTTAGGATAGCTGATTCTGCATCAATAATCAGGTGTTAGAGGAATTCTTTTTCCTGACACCTCTGCCATAAACTACTGTAAAAACATAACATATTCTCTCAAATTACAAATCTAAAATCTTTACAGAGGAATTCACATCTAGTTTAAAAAAAAAAAAAAAACTCTCTAAGTGACTCTTAAAAACTGAGAACTGAGGGTTGATGGGGGTGGGAAGGAGGATAGGGTAGGTGATGGGCATTGAAGAGGGCATCTTTTGGGATGAGCACTGGGTGTTGTTTGGAAACCAATTTGACAATAAATTTCATATATTAAAAAAAACTAAGTAAGTAGTCAATTAAATTTTTAGAAACTTGGAAGAGAGATGGGAAACTGAAAAACTAAGAAATTAAAATACAAATAAAGTGCCTCTTGATTTAAAAACAGCTACTTACATGCAAAAACTCCATAACTACTTTATCAAATTTGGTTTGTTTCTGAATATGATCCAATGTTTCCTGGTGTGAAGAACTTTCCAGATGTAGCTCAATATCTTTTTCTTCAAACGTTCGGAATTTACAAAATGAACATGTGAATGCCATTCTATAAAGAAAAAAAAGTTTTCCTTAAATATTGCCTTATTTACTGAGAGTTCATAAGACCATGCCAATAAAACTAATTTTACCAAAATAAATGATTTCCTTTATACCATCTTATGGTTGATCTAAATTTAGCTGAAGTCAGAAAAAACAGTATTTCTTTAAATATTTGGCCAACACTGCTATTATATACCACTTTGCAAATAATGGAATCAGTGGATCTATTTAATCTAGTCCTAAGCTATCCACTTCAAGTTTAGAATTATAAAGCCAAAGCAAACTTCCAAAAATACCAAGTTCTGAAGTTCCACTACTTATTTTTATACTCTGTTCCACTCTCAAGCTTGCAGTCCACCAAGGCAATAACCAACAAAGCCAGGTGAACATCAGACAACCATAATTCACTCCTTTGGAGCTGTTGGGTGACCAAAAACCCTACCTTCTAAGGACCACTTCAGGATGACTGACAAGCCTAGATAAATTTAGAAGCTCAGAAGCCACTCCAATATGAATTTCCCTCTTTTCTCCTATAAAGTGTTCCTATCTTGTGTATTCTTTTTATTTCCTTTTCATTGAATTATAACAATAGTTTCTTCATTGGTTTGTCTCTACTCTCCATTTTCCAATTAATTCTTTTTTTTCTTAATGTTTGGTTTTTTTTTTTTTTAATTTTTTTTTTTCAACGTTTATTTATTTTTGGGACAGAGAGAGACAGAGCATGAACCGGGGAGGGGCAGAGAGAGAGGGAGACACAGAATCGGAAACAGGCTCCAGGTTCCGAGCCATCAGCCCAGAGCCCGACGCGGGGCTCGAACTCCCGGACCGCGAGATTGTGACCTGGCTGAAGTCGGACGCTTAACCGACTGCGCCACCCAGGCGCCCCAATGTTTGTTTATTTTTGAGAGAGAGAGAGCGAGTGCACACAAAAGCCAGGGAGGGGCAGACAGACGGAGACACAGAATCTGAAGCAAGCTCCAGGCTCTGAACTGTCAGCACAGAGCCCAATGCGGGGCTCAAACTCACCAACCGCGAGATCATGACCTGAGCTGAAGTCAGATGCTTAACCAACTGAGCCACCCAGGTGCCCCTCTAATTAATTCCTTATATCAATATTATATTAATTTTCCTAGTTAAAACTTTGGGATCTGGAGCCTACTGCTGGGTTTATATCAGAGCCCCCTTGTGAGACACTGGGCAAATTACTTGACTTCTCTGGATCACAGTTTTCTTATCTTAATGCAATGAGAACCCTTATAGAAGTATCATTGAGGATGGAAAAAAAAAAAGTATATAAAGCCCTTAGAACAGTTCCCACCACACAGTAATAATTCAATTAATTAGTTACTTCCTAAAAGAGACAACAGCACTTTACTGGCTTCACTGACTTAAGCATCATAAAACAAAGTCAAAACACTTTTAGCTGCCCTTAAAAAAAGTTTTTAATCTCTCGTATATCTTGTTGGCTTTACCCACTAAATACTTTTATTTTTTTTTTAGGTTATTTATTTTGAGAGAGAGAGAACACAAGTGAGCACAAGAAAGGAAGGGCAGAGAGAGAGGGAAGGAAAATCCCAAGCAGGCTCCACACTGTCAACACAGAGCCTAAAGTGGGACTTGATCTCACAAACCGTGAGATCATGACCTGAGCCAAAATCAGGAGTCAGACATTTAACCAACTGAGCCACCCAGGTGCCCCCCTACTAAATATTTATAAAGAAAAATTTTTTAAGGTTTATTTACCTTTGAGAGAGATGGAGAGACAGAGGGGCAGAGAAAGAGGGACACACAGAATCCGAAGCAGGCTCCAGGCTCTGAGCTGCCAGCACAGAGACCGATGCGGGGCTCCAACTCACAAACCAAGAGATCACAACCTAAGCCGAGGGTGGACACTCAACCAACTGGGCCACCCAGGCACCCCATCCCCCTACTGAATGCTTTTAACAGTATCTGGCACACAGTATGTCTTCATTAAATGTTCAAATTAAATCACACTTGCCAACCCCCACTAGAGCCCTGTTCAATCTACACAGCTTTCCATATCCAGAATATGAATGAAAGGTCCCTGTTTCCTTGCTGTAACCTCGAGCCATGCCCTCTACCAGGGCTGCCTAACAGCTCCTACCATTTATTTTATTTATCCTACCATTCCCAAGTCAGTTCAAATACTGCCTCCATCCATTTCCCTGATTTTCCTGCACTCCTACTGAGAAGTCACCTCCTGTAAGATCACTTTGTACTTCTCTTCTGGCACTCTTCCCTTTATACTATTGTTTGTTTATAGCTCTCACACCCCTGTCCCCTCCCCCCGGCTCCCTCTACTCTATTATACTGAAAGCATTCAAATATCCAAAAAGAATGTATCGCAAGAATAGTTATTTATTGTCAGTCTCTTATCTTCCTAACTCAAAGCAAAACTGCTGATAAATTATAATAATTTTAGACTATTGTAAAGGATTCTTATTCTAAAATGACAACTTAATTGAACTGACATACTTTAGCTTATATGAGATTTATATTTATAGCTAAATGAAAGTTCAGTTCTTTCATTTTCTCCAATTCACACATGTATATTAACACAGATATATCATATCCAAAGCTTTAGTTTTTTTAAACTTTTTTTTAATGTTTATTTTTGACAGAGAGAGGGAGCACATGCGCGTGTGCACGTGTGCAGCGGAGGGTCAGAAAGAAGGGAAACAGAGGATCTGAGGCGGGCTGTGCACTGACAGCACAGAAGCCTAATTAATGTGGGGCTCAAACCCACAGCGAGATCAAGACCTGAGCCAAGGTCAGACATTTAACCGAGGCACCCAGGCGCCCCCAAAGCTATAATTTTTAAAGGGGAAAGTATTCAGGGGTAAATAGCAAAATTAATCTCATAATGTAAAATCAGCTTCAGATTCCTATACACCTGAAACAAAGAGTTCATTTCACTGTTTTCACTAATCCCGTCACCCATCAAAAGAAGGAATTCTATCCACAGTGGCAGGGATACCGTCAAGAAACAAAACTACCTGCCTCTTAACACTAGAACTTCTTTTCATGGGTTAATTCTTAAGAAGCTTAATCCTATTGTTTCTCAGGTGGCAACAAATTAGGAGTAACATATCAGAAAGAGCACAGGAAAAGGTTATTAAAGCTGGACAGAGATTACAGAAGTACAGCTTAAACAAAAGGGGTTTGAACTGCACAGGTGCCTTATACACAGATTTTTTATAGTATAGTTCTGTAAATGTATTTTCTCTTCGTTAGGAAAACCAAGTGGCTCGGTTGGTTAGGCGTCTTGACTCTTGATTCTGGCTCAGGTCATGATCTCACAGTTCTTGAGCTCCAGCCCCAGGTCTGGCTCTACAATGACAGCACAGAGACTGCTTGGGATTCTCTCTCTCTCTCTCTCTCTCTCTCTGCCCCTTCCCCTTCCCTGCTCACGTGTGCTCTCTCTCTCTCAAAATAAATAAACTTTAAAAAATATATATTTTTTCTTTTCCCTAGCTTACTTTATTATAAGAATACAGTATATAATACAAATAACATACAGAATATGTTTATCAACTGTTTAAGTTCTCAGTAAGGCTTCCAGTCATCAGGTGGCTATAAGAAGTGTTGGAGGAATCCAAAGTTACAGATTTGTAACTCTGGAGAATTAGCACCCAGAACCCCCATGTGGTTTATGGGCCAAATGCAATACCTATCTCACTAAAATCAAAGACAGTCTAAGCAAACAAAAAAATCTGGGAATTCAGATGCAACTGAATTTTCTTTTACCACATTTTACATAAATAAAATCAATGTATATGTTACAACCAAATAGTAACAAAGAATATCCTGTTTAATATGAAAGAAAACGGACAACGTAAACATATCTCCATGGAAAGGTCTGCAGATGCTGCTCTTAAAATATTATTTTCTGAACTAAGATAAAGTTTTAGACATATAGAAAATTCACTTACATGTAATATTTCATTCCCCTCATGCTACACAAATTAACTTTTCAAGATTTTATTTTCCTAGCATAAGCAGCAATTTCAGAGAAAGATGACGAAAGAAGGATCAAATACTGTCCTTTTGAGAAATTTTCTTAGACGTTTTCATGCACAACTTTACACGTTATATATATATTTTTTTTCTATTTTGCCTGCATTTTCTCCATGTTACTACAGGCTTTATAGCCTTCATTTTCAACAATGGCCTAAGACCCCATAGAGGGATGTGTCAAAATTTACACATACTTGACTACTCTCTGTCGCTGATATTTGTTTCATGTCTGGAGCTATTATAAATAATGCTGTAAAGGGCAGCTTTTTAGATTAAACTTTTCTACTTTTACATTATCTTCCTGGAGAGATCATGGACTATAAAAAAATTCAAGACATTTTTAAGGACTGTTAAACTGCTTCCCAGTAGTTAAAACCATATTATTTGGTTACCAGCAATTATAAGTATGTGCTTTGATTGTATCCATGTTAGTAAATCAATGTTTCTTTTCTCCTAATAAAATGCCATGCTATTAAATTCCCAGTTTATCTTACAATGAGTTTCAGCGTTTCCCCTAAAACTATGAACTAGCTATTGTTCCTTCACCCAATCATATATTAGGCATCTTGTTTTTACTTTTTAAAAAATACTGGTTGGGTGATGTTTACCTTAGATATTAATCATTCTTGTGTTTATAATATTTTCCAAGTCTGTCTGTTTTCAAGGTGTAAAGTTTTATTGAAACTAATGTGGTCATTATTTCCTTTGTAATTTAATCTACCACTTTTAAGCCTAGAAAAAACACTTCTGCAGCAATTAAAATATTCTATTTTATTTTCCTGTTATTTTCCATTTTGTAGGTTCTTTAATCCAATGGATTCATCTTCACTGGTGTAAGAAGAGGATCTAAACTATTTTTCTTATTGTTCAGTTGTTCAAGCAACCCCCCCCCTTTTAAGCAATTCTCCTTTTGTTTGCAACATTTGTATTATATATTACATTCTTACATATAACACATGTATTTAGAGGTTAATAATCCTATTATACTAATAGCCTTTTTTTAGTGCCACATATTTTTAACTATTACAGCTTTCAAATGTTTCGATTATCTAGAAAAGCTAGTACCTACTCATCTACTCTTCTTTTACAGAATCTTCTTTGGAATCAAGATTGACGACACTTGTTACATTTCTACTATTTAGTTTTTCTATCCAAGAATATCACTATGTCTCCATGTAGTCAAATCTCAAGACTCTGTGGTTTTCTTCATGTCATGACACATATTTCTTTTTTAAGAATACTGTATTTCTAGGTATTTTTTATTTTTAAATTACCATTAGGGATGGAACTCTTGTTTCTTATTTTTCTCAGTGTGACTGCACATAAATACCAAGAATCAAAAATATTCCTATATATCTTTGATCAAGCCTTTTCATTTGACCCCATGAATTTTCTCACATTCCAACTGATGTATTTGCATTTCCTAGGAAACTGTTTTTTAATAAGACCAATTTTCAGACTCTACTAAGCACAAACCTGTATCCATCTCCATATTTCTCACTGTTTTTTTCTCTTCTGCGCCTTTGTTTTTCTCGCCGAGCCTCAATACGTCGCTTTTCTTCTTCTTCATTTTTAGGATCAGTTTTTGCTAGGATATCAACAAGAGTCAAAATTAAATATCATTTTTCCATCCTCCCTTTTCAGTTCCCACTTCATAAAGCATTAAACATGCAAGGTATATTTGGTGATCACAATCTAAATTGAACTCACCAGAAAAATCAGTTTGAGATTAACCAGCATTTCTTAAACTTCATTCATTTGAATATCATTACCATGGCTTCAGTGTTTTGTTTTTTTTTTTTTTTAATTTTTTAAATGTTTGTTTATTTTTGAGAGAGAGAGAGAGAGAAACAGAGACAGAGCCCAAGATGGGGAAGGGCAGAGAGAGAAAGATGAAGACACAGAATCTGAAGCAGGTTCCAGGCTCCGAGCTGTCAGCACAGAGCCCGACATGGGGCTTGAACCCAAGAGCCATTAGACCATGACCTGAGCCGAAGTCGGACGCTTAACCGACTGAGCCACCCAGGCACCCCTATGGCTTCAGTGCTTTTAAGTAAGTTTCTCATGTTCATGACAAACTGCAGAGTAATTACAACTGTAGAAATTAGATCCTTTGAATCACCTAGTGTAGTCACTAATCACTCATAAACATCAAAATTACCCAGAGACACTTTTTAAAAATGCACATGCCCTGGTCTACCCCTCTTCCCTAAATCCTTATTTAGGATGGAGTCAAATCATCTGTATGTTTTAAAAGGCTTCTCACATGATTTTGATTCAAAGTTTTGCTTTGGATATTACATTTATTTTTAGAAGGTACTGTTGAGGATGTAGTATTATCATATTACACAGAATCCCCTTTATGAGGACAAAGGGAAGAAATTTTTCATGGTTTTTGGTACCAGGAAAAGGTGTATTTCTTCTGGAAATTTAATTTGCTTTTAATCTGGTGGACTGACAATTAGAGACAGTCACATTTTCCATCTGTACATTGTTAAAAAACTGAGAGGCAAACTGAAAATGAAATTAAGAAAACCATTTCATTCATATTAGCATCAACAAAACTAAATAGGAATAAATTTAACAAAGGAAATGTAAAACTTACACAGTACTTAAAAACTACAAAACAGGGGTCCCCGGCTGACTCAGTTGGAAGAACATGAGACTCTTGATCTCAGAGTTGTGAGTTTGAGCCCCATGTTGTGTGTAGAGATTATATAAATAAGAAGATAGGTAGGTAGACATATAGGATGAACTTACAAAAAAAAAAAAAAAAAAAAAAAAAAAAAAAACCACCACAAAACATTGTTGAAAAGAGGTTAAAGAAGATGGAAATAAATGGTTCAGAGATTAGAAGACTTAACGTTGTTAAGATGGTTGTACTCCCCAAACTGATCTACAGATTTAATGCAATCCCTATCAGAATTCTAACTGATTTCATTACAAACATTGACAAGTTGATTCTAAAGCTCATAAGGAAGGGATCTAAAGTAGTGACAACAATCCTAAAAAGAAATACAAAATAGAAAGACTCACCCTTCATGATTTCCAAACTTACTACAAAGCTACGATAATCAAGATACTGTGTTACTGGCACAAGGACAGACCTATAGATTAGCAGAACAGAATTGGGAGTCCAGAAATAAACTCATAAAACTTTGGTCAACTGGTTTTTAGCAAGGATGCCAAAATTATTCTGTTGGGAGAGAACAGTCTTTGCAACAAATGGTGCTGGGCAACTGGACAGCCACATGCAAATGCTAAAATACAAGACCTAAATGCAAGAACTATAGCTAGAAAACTCTTCCAAGAAAACATAGGAGTATATCTTTATGACTTTGGAATTTGGCAAGGAATTCTTAGATATACACCCAAAAGAACTGGGCAGCCAAAGAAAAATAGATAAATTAGACTTTATCAAAATTAAAAGCTTTTGTGCTTCCACACCCCTCCTCCCCCAACCTTTCTTTTAATGGAGGAAAGACGAAGAATATGGCAGATCTTACTCTAGACTCTCAATGTCTTCTATAACTTACCTGGACCTAATATTCAGCAAAATAGTGACTGTTGAGAATGAATTTGGGAAAATACAAAGACACAATTAGATGGTCAGAGTTTAGATTGTCTAAGCAGAATTAGGGACTTAGAAACTATTTCTGGTCTTCCAGAGAACACACATTCCTAGTTATTCAGTATTTTTATCTTAAGGACATGTCTATGTCTAGTTCTTTTTCTCTTAAGTAAGTAATGCACTGCACCATCAGCGCAGAGCCTGACGCAGGGCTTGAACTCACAAACCATGAGATCATGACCTGAACCGAAATTAAGAGATGCTTAACCAACTGAGCCACACAGGTGCCCCACATAATATTTATTATTTGAATTTGCTTTTGTTGTCACATGTACAATAAAACAAGGTGTTATTTTGTCATTGAAACTTTTTGAAATTAAATTGTATACTATTTTACCTTGTAAATTTTTACTTTTGATGTGTCATGTCTGTGATTTATATTGTTTATATCTGTCACTGAAGTTGGCATTTCCTGATTTTAAACTTTTATAGAAATATTTTGAAGTAGCTTTGGCAGTTTGACCTCTTGTTTCTAAAGTGCTTTCAGGGGCGACTGGGTGGCTCAGTCGGTTAAGCGTCTGACTTCAGCTCAGGTCACGATCTCACGGTCTGTGAGTTCGAGCCCCACGTCGGGCTCTGGGCTGATGGCTCAGAGCCTGGAGCCTGTTTCCGTTTCTGTGTCTCCCTCTCTCTCTGCCCCTCCCCCATTCATGCTCTGTCTCTGTCTCAAAAATAAATAAACGTTAAAAAAAAAAATTAAAGGGGCGCCTGGGTGGCGCAGTCGGTTAAGCGTCCGACATTCAGCCAGGTCACGATCTCGCGGTCCGTGAGTTCGAGCCCCGCGTCAGGCTCTGGGCTGATGGCTCGGAGCCTAGAGCCTGTTTCCGATTCTGTGTCTCCCTCTCTCTCTGCCCCTCCCCGGTTCATGCTCTGTCTCTCTCTGTCCCAAAAATAAATAAACGTTGAAAAAAAAAAATTAAAAAAAAAAATTAAAAAAAATAATAAAGTGCTTTCAAAGAGATCATTTTTAATAAATACTAGTTAAGGGGCATCTGGGTGGCTCAGTCAAATGAGCATCTGACCCTTGGTTTTGGCCCAGGGCATGGTCCCAGGGTCGTGGGATCAAGCCGCACATCAGGCTCTGAGCTGAGCATGGAGCCTGCTTGGGGTATTCATTCTTTCTTTCCTTTCTTTTTCCTTCCTTCTTCCTATCTATCGATATTTTTTCCCTCTCTCTCTCTGCCTCGCCCTCCCTCTCCCACTGCCCCTCTCCCCCACACACATGCTCTCTCTCACAAGAAAACAACAAAAACTAGGTGAGTAAATAAGCTAAATCCTTTTTTCAACATTGCATATATTATAATTTTCTTAAAGCAAAAGTTTATTAAAATTCATCATCAATGATCAAAACAAACAGAATTAAATCAGAGTACCTGACAATAGCCTGACAGTATTTAATTTTATCCTTTTTGTTCTTATTGTCTAAGTTTTAAATTTTTGTTTCATGTAAAGGTTGACTGGGTTTTTTTTGTTTTGTTTTATTTTTGAAATATGAAATTTATTGTCAAATTGGTTTGCAAACAACACCCAGTGATCATCCCAACAGGTGCCCTCCTCAATGCCCATCACCCACTTTCCCCTCCCTCCCACTCCCCCATCAATAAAGGTTGAATGTTTAAGTCTGTGTTTTTATCTCTATAAGTTAGAGATGGCTAGAATATATAAAGAATATTTTCAACTCAATAAAAAGACAAATAGCCCAACTAATAAGTGAGCAGAACATCTAAACGTGCATTTTTCCAAGAAAGGTATATGAAGAGCCAATAAGCACGAGAAAAAATGCCCACCCATTAGTTATTAGGGAAATGTAAATCAAGACCACAATGAGATACCATTGCATACTACCTGGATGGTTTGAATCAAATAGATAACAAGCCATAGCAAGGATATAGAAAAATCAGAACTCTCATCTACTGCTAGTGGGAATGTAAAATGGTGCAGATGCTTTGGAAAACAGGTGGTTCCTCAAATGATTATACTATATGATCCAGCACTTCTCCTAGATATATATCTAAGAGAAATGAAAACACATGCTCACACAAAAACTTATACACAGGTGTTTACAGCACTATTCATAGTCCCCAAAAGGTAGATACAACCCAAATACCCATCAGTGAATGAATAAAGAAAATTTGATTTGTTCATATAGTGGAATATTTCCAGCCATAAAATGGAATGAAGTACTAATACCTGCTGTAACTTGAATGAACCCTGAAAAGACTATGCTAAGTGAAAGAAGCCCATTACAGAAGTCCACATTTTATACAATTTTTTTTTTCATATGTAAGTTTAGAATACAGGTATCTATAAAGATAGAAAGTAAGTTAGTAGTTGCTCTGGTCTGTGGGGTTTGTTGGGGGTAATGCCTAAAGGGTACCAGGTCTCTGAGAGGAGATGAAAATGTTCTCAAATAGATTAGTGATATTTGCACATATCTGTGAATACACTAAAAACCAATGATTGGAACACTTTAAATGGATGAATTATAAGGTGTGTGAATTATATCTCAATAAAGCTTTTTTATTAAAAAAAAGTTCAGAGCCAAATTACTGTTACTTATCTATGCTGTTTTATTTTATTTTTTAACTTTGTAACATATCTCTACACGAAATCAAGTATACTTGACTAAACTACATGACAGTCAAGGATGTACCTAAATAAAAGCTAACAAAAGGTCTTCTTCAGACTTCTTTGTGAAAACACATAACAGCAAAATAATATACACCAAATATTTTGTCTATTTTTACATGTACACTGAATTACTTTTTGTTTTTTTATATTTATTTTTGCCTTGATGACTGAGAAGTGTTGAGTCTTTCCAAGTAAGGTGAAGTATAAGTCTTTCTATTTTGTTTCACTTTTTTAGGACTGTTTTCACTATTTTAGATCCCTTGCAACTCCTTATGAGCTTTAGAATCAACTTGTCAATTTTTGCAAAGAAGTCAGGTGGAATTCTAACAGGGATTGTGCTAATAAATCTGTAGATCAGTTTGGGGAATATAACCATCTTAACATTAAATCTTATGATCTTTGAACCATTTATTTAGTTTTTCCATTTATTTAGATCTTCTTAAACTTCTTTCAACAATGTTTTGTAGGTTTTGAATACTGTTTTAAGTTTTATACTACTTTTGCTAAATTTACCTATTTAGTCTTCTTGATGCTAATATGAATGAAATGGTTTTCTTCATTTCATTTTCAGATTGGCTCTCAATTTTTTAACAATGTACAGATGGAAAATGTGACTGTCTCTAAGAGTCGTCAGTCCACAAAATTAAAAGCAAATTAAATTTCCAGAAGAAACACACCTTTTCCATGAACCAAGAACCATGAAAAATGTCTTCCCTTTGTCCTCATAAAGGGGATTCTGTATAATGTAAGAATACTACATCCTCAGCAGTACCTTCCAACAACAAATATAACACCCAAGACAAAACTTTGAATCAAAATCATGTGAGAAGCCTTTTAACACATATAGATGATCTGACTCCATCCTAAATAAGGACTCAGGGAAGAGGGGTGGACCAGGGCATGTGCATTTTTAAAAAGTGTCTCTGGGTAATTTTGATGTTTATGAGTGATTAGTGACTACACTATGTGATTCAATGGATCTAATTTCTACAGTTGAAACTACTATGCAGTTTGTCATATGAACATGAAAAAATTATCTAAAGCATTAAATTTTTTAAAAACTAGAAGTACCATAAGCCATAGCAATTATGTTTTCTCACTTACTGGGTGATTTGCTGAGGCTCATCTTCTCCACAGGCTTTGCTAGCTTGGGTTTCTTGATAAAGGTTCCACCAGGCTTATTAAATGGTTGCATCATTTTTCTCTTTATTCCTCTTGCAGCAGCAACTGTCACATTGGTGGGTTTGTTTTGATAGTCAACAACAATTCCAGGTCTATGAATGCTTCCAAAATCACTCATATGCTGCAAATTTGTGAAATCAAGAAATATTAGCATAATATCTAAAGATAAAGTATGAATTCACACAAATTTTACCTGTTATCTATCTAATAATTTTCACCTGAAAATTACCCAGAACTGAACTAAATTTTACATGTCCGCTCTGAATAAACACATGGAAAACCTTTGTAAATTATTACATGAACTCAAATCCAGTGAATTAGTATTTTTATTTCCAGTAAAACAAATATGGATATTTCCTACCTATTTTTTTAATGTTTACAATTCAAAATTGAGATCATAAACAGCAAATGTGCCTGTCAGATTATTACCACTTGTACAACTCTCTGACAACTCCTCTTCAGAGTTCCTAATTGATGTTTTCCCATGAAAAGACCTAAAAAGACATCTTTATTTCACTAAAACCTGGCTTAAAACTAAGATGCATAAAGAAGACCATATATGAAGTTTGAAGTAAAAAAGATCCAGAAATCATTTAGGATTTCTCCCTGTTGAAAAAGGGAATGAGAAGGCGAGATGGAACATTAGTATGAAATAGGAGAGTTAAAGCATAACCATGCATCAACTTCCAGGACACACTTCAGATAAAGAATTACATCTGACGTTCCATTCACATTCTTACCTAGAGAAACATATTCTGACCCAGAAGCCCAAGAAGCAAAAGTTTACAGACGAAGAGTCATGCAACCAAACGACTCTTGTGTCCCTTTCTCTTCTCTTATCGTTAACAAAATCCACTACACCAAGAGGCTACATGTCCATAGAAATTTATTCTGCTAACCTTACTTTTAGAAGATAAAGACTGAGGAGTAATCTGAAGAGAAGGATCCAATGGGAATTGTACAAGTGAAGATTAAAAAAGAAAAGTCCTGTTGGTTCATCTACTTCATTAACAGGAGGAAAGAAAGAAAAGTCCATTCAGACTAGAATGGTGAACACAAAGTACAGGAATACCTGTTTTTCTATTGTGAAAACAAAATTGATATTTGAAGTCTCATTAAGAAAAAAATCATTTGCCTAAAGTAATATACAGCATGAAAAATGTTAAGTGTTTTCCAAATTTTCAAACTGGAATCGATTTTCAATTTCAAAACCCAAAGCCTACTAACCCCAACAATTTTCAATTAACCTATAGTCATTAATTATGGTGGAAGAGCAACGTATCAGTTGCTTACATTTATATATATGCTTAGGAATCCCTATCTAACCTAGTAAACTTGAATAGTTTAGTGTTTCCAGGTAACTTATAGAGTCACATTAGAAATATCTTCATTAATTATCCATTAAAGGTGCAATGCATTTTACATCAGTAAAGGGTAACTGTTATCAATGCAAAATTTCTACACAAAAAGGACAAACTACACTGATGTACCAAAAGCCAATGAAGAGACAAAAACATGTGCCCTACTACATTTTTTATCAGAAGTACTTTCCTCTGCAAAGAGACTATTAAGAGTAACTGACTTAATTAAACCATTTCTTACATTAAGGCAAAAATACAATATCTTTCATATGACCAAACTATATAACTCCACAATCTACATACACTTACTAGTAAAATTTCATGTCAGTCAAGTTACCTAAGAACATAAGTCATTCTCTTTATACTATGTCCTGAAATAAAACACTTGAAGACTGGTATATTTATTCATGTAAGCAATAATTTACAAAAGATTACTTCCTAGGAAGGAGCCAGAGACATGTCTGTACAAGTAGGAGCTTATTTCTCAATAGTAAAAACTAGTGACACAAGGGAAAACGAAACACCCAGCAACAGGACATATTGCAAGAGAGTAAGTTAGTAATTATATTGACCACAAATCATTCTACAACCTATTAGACATATCAACTTCTTCACCATGTAAACATAGCTAAGCTACCCTCATCTATTATTACCGACTTTTAGTCCCTTGTGTTATATGTGAAATATGGAGCTCTGAAGAAATTCTATGTGCTAGAGTTAGCAGCAAAGTATAAACATTTTATCATACATTGCACCTTTAACCTACTCAAAAACTCCAAAGGGTTGGTTACCTTTTACAATAATCCAAGAACTGTCCCACCAGCAAAACTGCTAGTGTTTTACAAGGAAAAATGCAACTCCTTTTAACCCCTTTTAGACCAAAACCTAATATCCTCACCTTTTTAATAAAGGGAGATTTGGCAAAACTATGAACAATCATCTCACACTGCCACTTGTTTTCTGAAGTGCTGGAAAAACTTTTACAGGCAACCTAAAAATTATGCTTATGATTCAGCTTTGCTTCAAAATACACTGGGATGAACAGTGTTTATTCTAGTTGAAAACCGTGGTCTTGAAAGGGTTTAAAAGAGTGACTAGTGAAAAGAATCTGAAAAGATTCTGTTGTACTTACTCCTCGGCCTCGGCCTCTGCCTGTTGATGGTCCTCCAAAAGCATCATAGTTTCTGCTTCCAAACGTACTTTCAGGATAAGCAGGCGTTCCTCTCCCCCGAGAGCCTACAGGTGCAGGCTTCATATGGGGTGAAGAAAAACTGCTGTAGGAAGAGTAATTCTCTCTTCCTCTGTCCTCCATAAACCCAGGCCTCAATTTTGAACGGGAGTAAGGTGCTTCCCAGCTAGACCCGCCCTGGTTTCTACCTCCGAAAGAGTCAAGGCTATTCCGGTAGGAGCTCTCAAATCGACCACCATAACTACCTCCGAAGCGGCTTTGTTCGGGTTCATTAAAACCATAGCCAGATCTGTACAGATCTCGCCCACCCAGAGAAGACCTGGAGTCGTAAGACTCATAAGGTCCAAACCTGGAAAAGTTGCACAGTGAGGGAAAAAACAAAAGTAAGCTTACTAATGTTAGACAATTCAAAAGACAAATTATCAGATGACATTTATCAACTAAAATTCATTTATACCATACTGGTTTGCACAGTTCTACTTTTATTCACACCCTGATTAGGGCTGGGCAGTTCAACATGAGACCAGATAGAAAGCTATCTGAGTCAGTTTTTAAATATGAATTGAGTTAAGTAAACCTTAGCTTAAAAATCTGCTTTGTGGCAGCTTTTCTATTTTATTAAAAAGATTTGTCTGTCAGTATTTAAGCCCAGCCCTAGTCTTGGAAAAAGTCATTTGCTAAAGTTCACAAACTACTCAAACTTTCTTTGAATCCATCCCTAGTACTGGAAAATACCAAATATTTACAATATTTTGGCTTTCAATAGGGACATAAATTGAAGACTATACCAATATAGGCTATTTGTGACACAGAAGAGATCCTTTTTGCACCCCTAATAATCTATGTAACAAAACTGCTTGTGTCTGTAGCAGTCAAAATTTGGAGAATTATCTCTGCTTACAAAATTTGATATCCTGCCCAACTTTGGGTAAGGTCAATAATCAATCCTCAGTCACTTTCTACTTGTAGACTAGCAAATCTAACAAATCTAGAAGAATAAGCACATAAAATAGAACATAAAAGTAAAAGACCACGAACATATATCCTCTGCATATGAATTTTCAAGGCAGATGAGAAAGAGTACATTTTATATCTTCAATTATTTAAAAAATTATTTCCTGGTAGGAAATTATCACATAAAACTACTCTAAAAAAGGGAGCACACCGTCTCCTCAAGGTTTTAATAGAATCAACAGAAGAAACAAATCATCTTACTTCTCACAAATCCAAAGCATGGATTACAAAAGTTGCTTCATAGCTTACAACATAGTTTTATAAAGGCCCACAATTACACATGAGATAAACGATAACATCTACATAGTTTATCCACATCACATTTACAATGCAATAGGGCAGTAACGGATATATTAAAACAGTTAAATGTGTTACATTACTTCAATTATTTACAGATCACTAAATAGAATGTACTATTTATTTCTGAATCCTGGTAACCGTATAAAAATTATTCCTCTTTCCAGCTCTTTTTAAAACATCTATCACATAAGCAAAATTGTTGTATCTGTTCATTTTCTTGATTTTCCTCTACTATTAAACCATAGTGGCACACTTGAAGCAGAAAGAAGGAAAGTAAAGCATCATTCAGTCCATCCTTAAGGAATCCGGATCCTTCATTTTATGAAGAAGGAGGATAGTTTCAAATGTTACCTAACTAGTTATACTTAGTAGAAATATCTGTGCCTTAAAAGGTATACACTCTTTGCCTGAAATGTGGTCAACCCTACGGCCTGAGTAGTTCAACTAGTGTTAAGCTTTACACAGTATCAACAGTAAAATATAAAAACAATCTAAACTCTAGTGCATTAAAATAAGCAAAGGTATAGTATTCATGGCTTTAATACAATGCTCCTAGCTTAGAGCACAAGTGTTTTTGGTCTAAGTAGTATCTGCCAATAAATAACCTAGATATGGACTTAAAGAACATTTTATTATTACAATTTGCTCCTACAACTTACTCTAAAATTAAAATTAAAAGAATAACTACCTTAAATGTTTCTCAGAAAACTGAATGTTGCTAGACTGGTTCAGTTAAACCCATTCCAGTCAAAGACTGCTTTGCTGCTTTATAGAACACCCCACATCAGAAAAGACACTTTTAAAAATCATAAAGAAAAAGGTTCACAGATAATATTTCCAATAACATTTTTATATCATTTGTTCAGAACATTCTGACTGATGAGGAGTTAAAAGTAAAGGAAGTAAAAAAAAAAAAAAGAGTTCACTACTAAAAGACAGAAAAGCTTACTCTATTATAGTGAAATGAAAATAGCTACTTGAAGTTTTCCTAAAATAATGTCTGCCAGTAATCCTGAGGTAATTTTTATAACCATTAATTAACACCTCTAAACATTTAAAGTGATTATTCAATACCAAATAGTGAAATTCAAGCATCATAACATGCCTAAGGAATACTTAAATTAAAATATCCAGAATCTTATAGTCATCTAATCATTTGGCCAAGTGATTAAGCAATTTACCTGCTACCCCCACCACCACCACTGTGATTGTCCATGCCATATGACTGGTTTAGGTAGGAGTCCATGGATCTTTGACCCCCATAGGATCCATGGCCATAGTCACGGTCCATCCCTATAAAGAGTTTAAAAAGAAAAAAATTAAATGATGCTCACCTTTACTGGCACTCAAAAGAAGAATTTTTAGATAAATATCCTTGAATGTCAGACCTCCATAAGATCCGGGGCCATAATCACGATCCATTCCTAAAACAGAGTCAGTAACAAAAGGTCAGTAAGATATACCATCCTCTTCAGGAATCTTTGCATAAAACACAAGATATTCCTATCAATGATCTGAGATAATAATTCATCATTAACATTTAAGCTAAACTCACAGTAGACGTGGAAGGAAAAAACCTCACAAATGATAATCTACTGAATAATCAGATTTGCTAATAAAACCTATTTTTCAAAAAAACATTATCAACTAAGAAAGTTCTATATTAGAATTATTTTTAATTTAATCAACATCTATTTGACTAGGGTGCTACTTTAAGGTTCTGTATTAGCTTATTCCATAGTACATAATTAATAATAATTCCTACTCTCAAAAAAAAATCATTTATTAATGTCAAGAAGAAAAACTTTGTTCTAAGTATACTTTTTTGCATCTAGCTGCTCTCAAAAGATCTAAAAACTCAGAAGCAGCCACATTTTCAATTAGCCTAATTTAAATTTGTTCATATACTAACCGAAATAGACATTTTTAAAAAGTAAAAATCATGGAGTAGGGGACCAACCTGTGGTATTACACCTATAAATAACAACTCAACAAATATTTAAATCCTCAAATACTCTGAATAGGGAATGAATGTGAACTCTAGCAATACAAAACACACACAAAACAAATTCTAATACATTAAGGGTACTAAGTATGTCTTATTACACTGCCAATTCCATCTATATCCCAACCTAAGATGTAAAAAATACAACGAAAGAGGTAATAAAATAAATTTACTATGATTATAAAAATGGTATTTTTAAATCATTTAGAATGTGTCTTATAAAGTCCTTTAAAATCCTTTATTGTCACCCTCCTCAAATTTTATACACTAATAAATACAACAATATACAAAGAGCAAATACCTTAATTTACATTTTTTAAAACACTAAATTTTAATTACAACCACTTAAATATTTCTGGTCCTAATAATAATGACAACAGCAACAACTTCACAAAAATATCACTCAGAATCTTGAGACTTTAAAGCTGGAAGCAACCTAAATGATAAAATTCAATCTTCTTGCTTTATAGATTAGGGAACTACAGTCCAAAGAGATGACATTATTTTCTCAAAGTTCAATATGTATCCACCCTTCTAGCTTTATGCTGTTGCTTCTATGTGAAACACTCCCAGCTAACACCCCAAATATCTGCTTCTTAAAATATTCTCACTTTTAAGGGTGCCTGGGTGGCTCAGTCAGTTAAGTGACCGACTTCGGCTCAGGTTATGATCTCACGGTTTGTGGGTTCGAGCCCAGTGTCGAGCTCTGTGCTAAACACTTGCTCTGAGACTGGGACCTGCTTCAGATTCTGTGTCTCCTTCGCTCTCTGCCCCTCCCCCGCTTGTGCTCTGTCTCACTCTGTCTCTCAAATATAAATAAATATAATAAAAAACAATTTTTTAAAAATCTTCTCATCTTTTAAAAGTCCATTTCAAATACTAACCCTTTTAAGATCAAATTTAATGATACCATCTCAGTTGATTATCATCTCTTTCTTCTAAATACCTAAAAGTCTATAGCTCTTAATACGGTGCTTAGGATACTCTCTCTGCCTTATGTTCTGCTATTTGTGGCCTCATCCTAAATGTACACTCATCTTGTGGGCAGGGTCTGATTTCTACTAATTTTGTACATGCCCCAGAACCACTGTTCTCAAAGAATAGTCTCTTCACCACTGCGAGTTGCTAGGACCTTTTCAGGGATCCACAAGATCAAACTATTTTCATAAATAACACTACAACATTATTTGCCTTTTTCACAGTGCTGACATTTGCACTGAAGATGCAAAAGCACTGGTGGGTAAAACTGCAGGTCCCTCACCACAAATCAAGGTAATGGCACCAAAGGATATTAGCAGTCATTGTAGTCCTTAATACTGCACACTTGCAGTAAAAAAATAATAAAAAGAGCCATCTGTACTTAAAAATGTCCTTGATGAAACAGTTAAGAATTATCAATTTTATTAAACCATGACTTTTCAGTACAATTTCTTTCTGGTAGTGTCTGTAGCACAAAAAGCAATTTTGCTGCATACCAAAGTATCAAGGTTTTTGCCAGGAAAAGCCATTGTGCAAGTGCTTGGTTGTGAAATGAAATTAGCCACTTTTACAAAGAATACTATTTTTACTAGACAGACAGAGCATTTGGCATTTTCTCAAAAACGAACAAAGTAAAACTGTCACTTAAAGGAAAACAACTAACAGCATTTGCTGCCAATGATAAAACTTGAGCTTTTCAGTGAAATTTAGAATTATATAAAACTTGTAAGTACCAATAAGCATAACAGAACACAGTAAGTTTATTAATACATTTTTCATACTAAGACTTCAAATGGGGCGCATTATTTACATTTATAGCTCATCTAAATTCCAACTGTCCACATTCAAGTGTGCAGTCACATGCAGCTCATGGCTACCATATTAGACAACACAATTCTAGATTAATAAAATAGTCATTTATCTTTTTTTTTTTTTTTTTT